AAAAAGGGTTTTAAAATTTTTTGTTTCCGTAATAAAGCATTTAAAGAATTTAATATAAATTACGAAATTATTATTCATACCAATATATGTAGTCATTTATAGATGTTCTCATTGATAGGCAGTAAAAGTAGTTTTATTTCGCAAATCTTTACAATTCAGACAATAGGATAAATCTCTTTTTTAATTTGTTGAATGCTTTGTGATTATACAATAATGTAGTTGATGTGCTTTATATTGTTACTAACTGACGATAACAAACATATTGTGCAATCTCGATTAAGAACGGGTCTAATGGTGTTCTCGATAAAATCGTCTTTTCGTTTTCTTTCCCGATCATAAAACATGATGATTGTTCGTAGAAAAGTTTTCACGAAAAAAAAGTATGTTCATGTTTTAATTGTGTACAGAGCTTGGTGTATGATTATCAAACGAGAATTGACGTTTACTCGTTTAATTAAATGGTATAATAATAATAATGTCGTCTGTGATGCGTGAGTAGAAAATATACGGTTTCAGCGAATATTCTAGTCTTGAAATATTATATCCATCATATTTGCGCAATACATTTACGTATAACAAAATAAGTAATAACATAATAGCTTCTTTTCGTATGGCCAATTATTTCTACCTGCAAAGTCTCTGTCTGCGCATCCGTCTCCTGGTTGACGTTATCAACATCTCCGCCTTTGGTCCCGATTCGGCTGCATGTAAAACGTGATTCCATTCAACTGGAGCGGTGATTCATTGTGCCCATAATTCGCACGTGGAATTTAGCAAATTGGTCTGGGCGAATTATTATCTGCCAGCATCGCGAAAACACTGCACGGATCACGACTTGAAACGGTCTCACGTATATATTATATCCAACAAGTCTAGCCGCACATCCCACGCGCAATATGGACAAATGAAGCATAATGGAAGAGAAAAAAAACCAAAAGAAAACATCTTTGTTGTTGTGTGCCTCAATTTCACTGCATTGTTAACGTTTCTTATTCCATACTCTACGGCAAAATATGCTGCACGATATTTGACATCGCGTTTTGAAGGATAGATATTATTATTATTATTATTATAGATCATGGTCTGCATGGGGTGGAGGTCATATGCAGTGTTGTGTCCACCCATATGACGCACACACACTCGCATACACAAAGATAACCGTAGTCGTCAAGTGTATGTGTCTGCATGGTCGATGACGTATCCATGACGTTAATATGAAAATTACAGACAACTTTCTCGATCCAAGTCGATCGTTTATGACTGACTGACAGAACACGTTTTTCTTAGTCTTCTAATTATTCTGATGGATGCATGGTCTCTTTACATCACTTTTTGTAGGTCGTTTTTTCCTATATGGGAAGGGATTATTGACCATTTACAGAATTTCGACATTTTCAAGATAATACAAATCATCCCTAACTGAAAATCAAAAGATTTTTTACTGCCCCGGTGTATTTTCTACAAAACAATTATGTATCTATATATAAAAAAAAAATCCTACAGATATTAATCTTATATGATATTTTCGAAACAATTATATGATAGAAGACTAGTAAAGTAAGCGAATTTGGTATGTATACTTGCACAGTATCATTGAAAAAAAATTAATTTTATAGCTTATTTTTCAATGGTCTATATTAAAAAAGGAGAGAAGTTAAAAGGAGAAAAATCATCATTATCATTACGGAGTTCTTTCGTGATCTTTACGAGCACTTTGTTGGACATTAAGTGTACTCCAACGATGCTAAATGTAAAGATTGTAATGATTCATGGGGGATCCGTTACACGTCAAAATTTAAGCACTCGCTAATTTTAAAATGTGTGTGTGTGTGTGTGTGTGTTTATAAAAAAATGTTCAGTTATGTGATTTCTATAACACAACGATATATTTGCGCCGGCGGTTATGTAGAGATTTTGTTCGGAGTAGAGTGAAAAAAAACGGCAACGACCTCGAAGGCACGAATAATTTTATATCGTGTCAGGGGTCGAATTTCTCCGTTAGAAACGTTGGGTTTGAGCCGAAAACGGAATTTCGTATATATGTATAATAATTATACATCTATTAAAATAAATATTAACTTTATAGAAATTTAAATGCAATATAAAATACAAACCACTTCAATAATTAGTAATTATCTCCTGTGTGGACAGTACACTAGTTATTATTTCATTAACAGTTATGCAATCATCAACGAATAATAGTAATATAGTTTATGTCAACTATAACCTTAAAAGGATAACGGCATTTCTCCATATACTAATGCACCAATTCACAAAACGATTTACAAAAATTTGTTTAGTTATATTATATAAACGTGGTATTCATTAAAGTACGAGTACCTTACGATTTGACATTAAATATTAAATTAACATAAAGTTGAATAAATTAATAAAATTTGCTAGATTATATCATCACTAATTTTCTATTGTCTATATTTATCGAACATGAGGTAAATAAATTATTTAAATTATTTTGTTTTTATTATTATGTTATTAGCATACTAAAGTATAATATATATATATTTATATTTGTTACACTACCCTTGTAATCTTGAATCGGTATAGGATTAAGAAAAAAATGTCTGATTCTCTTTTACACAATAAGTTTTTAATATCGAACTCTTAAGATATAATTAAAGCATAAACGAATATTTCAAAATTGAGATTTGGATATTTATGAAATCGCATATCTTTTCCATTAATCCAATTTAATGTGGACCTGGATATAAATTTGATTACTGTTCTGTAAAATCAAAAATTACTAATATTAATTTGAATATTTTTGCATATTTTATGGTTTTATATTTTTGGGATTTTAATAATATAAATACATACTTTAGTACAATTTGAACTTTTTAAAAAATAATTTAAATTAGCGAATAGATAAATGATATATTATTAATGCGTATACCTATTAATGCGTATATTTGTCCCAAATATTTTTAGATTCAAGTTTGATAAAATTAAAAAGAATCCTTGTATCACAGTGAAACACTCATAATGTAAGTTAGTATATATAATAAAAAATATATAAAAATAACAACTAATACAAAACAACTACTTATAATAGTTTTAATATTAATACTAAAGGTAAAATACATTTTATTCTGCGTATCTTGTTGTTTTCCTTAGCTAAAATTTATTTTTTATGATTTTTGTGCATAAATACATACATATTACATTAATTTTAAGTGTATAGACATCTGAGCCCAAGTCATAATTTTGTATGTGATTAAAAACACTTGTTTTTTATTGAATCTACAATTTTTTTTTTTTGGTTGACGATGACGTAGTACCAACCATAAAGTTCTTGCTAAGGTAGAAAAATAAGAAAAAAAAAAATTCGACACTCGTTATTTTCTTTTTATGACTCCACAGCTACTCGTTATAGATAAATAAATATATTATATACATTATAAATGGAAACCACTCCGTCATTAAAAAACTTACGTCCGAATACAAACACAACAATGATTTATACAAGAGGTTCGACGACGAGTGTCATACATATAAACAAAACTAGCAGAAAAAGAAATTCCACCGAGGTTATTAAGGTGCGTTAGAAACCGGTGCCTCGAGGGGCGGTTGGTACATTCGGTTATATAACCTGGATTCATTATTGCACGCGCTTCGGAAATAATTCGCAGAACAGGTACAGGATGCAGTTGCATTATGTTAAAATTTTGAAAATTCGTAAAAATTTTCTGACGTTAACGTGTACACGGGTTTTTTTTCCCCTTTTGTCGCCTGTGTAGGAGTGTTCATAGGAGAAGAAGAATATCGCATGATGCGTATAACCGTAAAAAAGACGAGAAAAAAAAATACCGGGAGCATGATGACCGAAGCCTTGTTATGGAGAGAAAATACTTTATGTTATTATTTATCGGATTCTGACGTCCCGGAAGTGTGCAGATGATAACGAGATCTTCTGTGCATCGTATACATATCTCGTTAAAAGCGTTCACTGTAATATACCAACACATCATCACAGCGGCGGCGTCAAGCCGCGAAACACAATAACATCGAACACATAAGTGGCGTTCGCACGAAATGCGTAAATCGTGACTTTCAGCGTATACACTATTAGCTGTCCATCAATGGCAGTCGAGAACGATCATTAAAACGGTGATTTGAATAAAGAGCAACACGGTTGACCGAAAACTGCGTACATGGCAATATCATACGCGTTGAGCGCGCCTATAATGTGACGTATAACAAGTCTCGTTAATCGACGACGTTGGTTGTAAGCGTGGGACGATGGGTAAGAGGGGAGAGGAGGAGAAGTTTTGCCACCATCTGCTATGGGTAATTTTACGGACGCCAAAAGGACTACAGAGGGAGAAAAACGGCTCATAATCGTACGTTCTTTGGCTTGTGGACGTATTTTTTTTTTTTTTACCGCGACCCACATACGAATGGACTCCGAAAAACGTGTATTCAAGTATTCGATTTGCAAGAACCTGAACAGATTAAGACAAGTTCGCAATAGCAAGAGTTTAGGTGCGTACGTGCAGCCGTATATCATTACTATTATTGTCGGTGTTATGCTTTGTGACAAGTCACGCGTTTAAATTATAATAAAACACGCGGTCGCGTACCAAAACCATAGAGTAATATAACCGTTGATGGAGAAGAAAACGAAAAAAAAAAAAAATCAAACGTACACGCAGAAGAAGTGCGGCGGTTCTTGGAAAAATTCCGGTCGAATACACAAAAAGAGCGCGCTGCAGTGGGAAACGGGAGATAATTTTTGACGACCGCGAAGCGCACGGAGAGCGGAAAAACACGGAGACTTTAACGGTGGTGATCGCAGTAGAGAAATCCGCGGTGCGGTCCGCGAGTAAATCCGCGCGCGGTGGCCCGTTCGACGACGTCCGCGGAGATTTGGGGGTGTGTTCAACGCGCGCGTGACGCGAACACGGGGTCGCCGCAAGTGTACGCGCGGGTTGTTAAACAGCAACGGGGGTGGTGCATGTTGGTTGTGTGCAAGTTGTACGTACCGCATGAACCGGGATATCGGCGTATTCGTGTTGTCGGACGGCGACGAGGTGAGTAATCCAAAACGACCGGGCGGGTAAGAAATCGTCGGCGCACACTGCCGGCGCGCAACGGTTCGGATACCCGTGATCGCGCACGAACACTGCACCGGGACGAACACGCAGCGAGACGAAGGAAGGAAGGAAAAAAAAACGGTATTTTTATAATTTTTTTTTTTTTTTTTTATTACGTACGGCGTGCGCGAAACTTGTTGTCGCCGGGACTTTGCGCGCAGCCCCGTACGGGCGAATATCGGAAGTTCGTGCGATTGGGTCGCAAAAGTTTTGGACACGCGCACACACACACACACACACACATACACACACACGTAACACGCGCGCACACGCAAACACACACGAACACGCGCACGCGGACGACGGTTGGTTGGCGGCCGGCGAGACCGTAAATCACGTACTGCACGCGCGCAGGTAACTCAACTCGACGACCGGTGGTGCCGCCGCCACGTGAAAACCCGCCGCGAGTCCATCCGCCTCCCACCCCGAGCACCGGCCGCGCGTCGTTACCCAAAGACCTAATTCCACCGCGGCCGCCTCGCCGGCGCACTGCTCTCGAACCGCACCGCACCGCCGCCGACGCTGCGCGCGCGCACTCGCACCGACGGCCGGTAAAAAAACAGAAACGTACGCGCGCACACAACCGACGGGTTCCGTTAAACCTCTCAGCTGCTCCGGCTCTTCGGGTCACACACACACACACACACGCGTGTGTGTGTGTGTCAGACTCGCGCACGCACCGCCGCCGCCGCCGCCGCCGCGTGTATAATCAACGGCACCGTGTACGTGAGTGCACTCTGTACGCGCATACAGGGTGTTCCGCCGCCAAGAACCGTGTCGTCCGTAAGAAGACTTCGCGCTGTTTTCCCGTCGCAACACGATATGTCCTGTTGAAAGTTTTCGTTTTTTTTTTTTTTTTTTTTTGAATAGAAATTTTCCGCTGCAAAACCGTCGGCACGGATGTATGTTTTGTTTTTCACGATGACGCGGACGAATTTTAACGCTTTTGCTAAGAACTCCGTGGCGGACAGATATTTGTAAAAAAAGGTTACGCATCGTTTTGAACTTAACGCCAAAAGTGACTGCGTTGCGATTTCTAATAGTGGACGGTTTAAAGTGTCATAACCGTAGGCAAGTGGTGCGGTAAATGTATTTCCAAAACAGAACGTTTAAAATGTTACAGAAGTTATTACACTTGTCAACAGATTTTTTTCCGTAACACTGTTTACACGAGTATGTGTACCTACCACCGAATCCGCCGCTGGTGCACGTTTTTATTTTTATTTACATTTTCGGTCGGGCCGACAACTATAATAATAAATATCGCATTAAATCGTACGCATTATCAACGTACATCAAAGTTCAGCGACCGCTTGTGGATTTTCGAATTTTTCTGTTTACTCGCATTAAATATACATAGTATATTCAATAGTATATATTTAGTATATATATATATATATATATATATATATATATATATATAGTGCATTAATTTGTAAATAACATATTCATTTCAATCGTGTTTCTGTGATGATGTTTAATTTTACTATAATTCTGAATGATTCCAAAAGCGACACGTACACGAGTATGTTCCGAAGAAGATGAAACCGGCAATGGGTTCAAAGCGTATATAGTTAGTGATGTTAGGACACGCATGGATAAAATCCAAAAAAGGAAGTATTAGAAAGAAAAAAAAATAACAAGAAAAAATAAAATCAAGCGATTTAAAAAAAATATTTTTAAACTCGTTTATAAATTACCATAACTAGAACCTTATGTTCCTTTGGGTCATTATAATTTAATCTCCTGTAAAAACCAAAACCCCCAGTTTCAGTGGTTGCTCACTAAAAATAACAAAATTACGTGACACTTTCTGATCAGATTTGCGTGCAAATAAAAGTAAAATCTCTCCTGCTGCAGTAAAATTTGCTAGTATAATTTCAAATTTTTAACATTCATATCTGGGCAGTTTTAACTCAAACAAATGGAATTTAATGAACCCGTTTTTAGCATGATAAAATATCGACTGCAATGGAAACAACTGGATAAAAAAGTAAATAGTTGAAAATATTCATTAATTAGGTTATTTGCATTTAGAAGCAAACAACATTGCATAGTGCTTACAGTTGAAAATTAATAGTTTCATCTGGTATCTTTATTTTTCATAATGTATTATTCATTTTCCAAATAAAATGCTGATATAATACTTTTTAGGTATCTACTATAAAAATAATATTAAAAAAAAACTATTTTTGGCTATCGCTGAAAAAAACGACAAATATTATATATGGTAGTATTACTACACAGTTGGACATAGTTAAACCCAGTTATTGCTACATTATAGGTATATTATGCTCAGTGTCGCCTTAAGGTAGCAAGAGACCCTTTATATAAAAATATTTATATTACGATATTTATTATTTTTTTAACACAATTTAAAAATTGATATTTATTTTTATATTTTATCATTAAAAAGTTAATTTGTATTCGAATCTCAGTTACTTTATTATTTAGTACGAAAATGTCCAATTTAACATTAAAAAAAGTGCTTTCCTATGAATTAAAAGTATACGTTTCAATTATTTAAAAATTAATACTTTTTATAGTTGAAAAATCAGTGTAAATCAAATAACAAAAAAGCTATCATAAAAATAGTATAATATAAATTGTTCTATAATTAGAAGGTAAGGTTATATTTTGAATAATTTAAGTTACATTGAATAAGATATTTAAAATATTTCATATTAATTAATAAAACTCACAATAATTTTGATTTTAAATTTCGAATATAATTTTTGTCTTAATAAAATTAGATGATTCTTACAGAAAAATAATTTTAATATTTTATAAATAATGGATACAAGTCCTTAGAATTCCGGGACCCTAGCCATTTGATTATGAAATTCAGCATCGTATTTAATATTAGTAATCGCACATAGCCTTTAGTATAGTATTTTTTATGTAGATTTTCCGTGGCCGCAAACACCTGTGATTACATCGAACGTGTTCGTAGTAATTTTACCATAACGGCATTATTTCGATACACGTGTGTGTAGATATATATATGCTTATGAATGTATATAATAGTATCCTATACTTATTATATAGCCATAATGGTGTATAAAGTTATACGTGTCGTCACTCGTAACTGCTACAATGTGATTTCTCGTGTTAACCGATATAATGATTAATGTATTTTGTGCAGCTCAAAAATTCAAGAAAAAAATTATAAATTAACTGTTGGTAACGCAATTCTGATATATTCGTATTGTTGAGAAAAATCATTTCATTCGATTAATAATTATAATGGGATAAATTCCATCCTACAATGATTGAAAAAGCTTTCTACATTAGTTGTTTTAACAATTATTTTTTTTTCATAAATTATTGAACTGGACGAATAATTGACAAAAATGTAAAATATAACAGGAAATTCGATACGTTTTAACAATGTCTAGTATCATTTAAAACATATTTAAATCCAAAAATATACATTACATTACATATTACTAACGAACGATTGTTTTTATTATCTATAATGTGTGTGATTGAGCCTGGTCCGTACAAAAATTTAAATAAATAAATGTACAAATACATCATGTCATAATTGTAGCCCTAATCATAATAAAATAAAGTATTTTAATCATAGACGTTATGCAATGCATTTGTTATTATAATAATGATTGTACCAACGATAATTTATTATATTATTACACTATAGCAACCATATATTTTATATCACAACCATGTACAATGTACATTGTATTATATTATCATTTTTTATTTTTATTTTATTTAGGCACCACATACTATGTACGTTCATTGTACATATTGTATTCGTACAGGAATTACATGTATTGTTAGTATTTAGTGTCCTAGGCATTTACACGGAATGTTAACTGTGTGAAAATACGTTTAATATGTATCCCATAAATTATTGAACTTCTAATTACCATAATAGAATCAAACCTACATTTCTAGGAAAAACTTGTATCCTCGTCGATGATTTCTAATAAACCGTCGGTGTTTTTATAATATATACCTTGTTGTCAGTGCATTTTAAAGGTTCATTGACACAATAAATATTTATATACCTATATATATTGTACGATTATTTCAATAATAACGCGTGTGCACCGATTGTTCAGGACGTTAAATAGAAAGTGTTCGATAAATTCTTGGTAAACATACGAATTTTCGGTTGCAGCGCATAACATCCTGTAGTAATGTATAAATTGTTTATATAGATCTCTGTTCTAGTTTTAATATTTTAACTATTTTTATATTCTAACGTATTTTAACATAGTTACCACTCGACCGGTTTTCGTTCATATAACTACAGGTTTTTATAAGACTTTAATTTATTCTCACTAATTTTTTTTTACATTTATATTGTTTAATTATAATTAAGCTTAAAAATCGGTCAATACCTTTATCAAATATTCCTGTTAATAAAATGTGTACTTTCTACTTAATACTTCGTTTGAATTTGTTGTCATATTTAATATTATTATAATCCACTATTAAAAATAAAAACAGCATGTAAAAATATGCGGGATATTATACTACCGTTCCTGGACAGCATTATATCGTGGGGACGTGAAGGATTTAATTTTAAAAAATAAAAAATACTAAATAATAAATATACCTAAAAATTTAAGTTTTTCAAAGTTATTTTTTTCCTTTTTGAAGAAATTCTAATATAAATTATTATATTTTATGACGAACATACTAAACAAGAACAAAATTGTGTTTACAATAGTGAATTATTTTTTCATTTATTTATTCCGAAATAAGCACTTTACTCAGCTTTGTAATTTAAAAATATTAATCGAATAGATTTTTATAAAAAAAAATGAATATAATGGTTTTAAAAAATATATTTATAATATTTCGAATAGGTATACGGTCAATCTAACTTCTAGTTTTCTGTAAACATTTTTGCGGGCCTTAAAAATATAACCTCATTAATTTATATATATATTTATTATTCATACCGTGTTATTAGAAGAATATTGATTTACTATATTACCAACCCATATAATTTTATTTTGGCGTTGTTATTTGATTATTATTATTATTTTTTTTCTTATAGCATTTTGTCTATAATTAACGTACGGAATATAGCCGTCTTAGATAGAAGATGGCTAATGTATTTTTAAAGAGAATGCTCATGAAGTTTTTTTATTAGAAACTCTTTACTTATATGAAAATAATAATACGTTTTGTACGTCATCATTAATATATAAAATCTCAAAAATATTTATGGAATTTTTTGAAGATGTACGATGTTCATAAAATGTTATGTTTTACATTTGTATTGTATTATATTTACTAAAATGAATATCATGGAACTAAATGTTTATTGCACGCACGTTTATTTTATTTATTTATTGTTAAAAATTATAACTATTAAAAATTAAAAAT